TGTCCATTCACTAGGGAGTAGTGGGATTGGATTTTGAAATATTTTTCCATTTTTATTTGTGCTTGTGGTAGATTGTGGAAAATGATATGCTATGTTCTGTGCTGCTTATAATTAAAGCTTCTCATACAACGTACAAAGTGCAGCTAGGGACCAGGTGATTTACATAGCACAGTGTCTCAGGAAATTATTATATCAATGTATTCGTTTTGCCAGTCGCAGCCTTTTCATCTGCCCTTTATAGTTATAGAGCCGTTCGTTCCAGGTGAGGATGGTCTGCTTCGTATTCGTTTCACATCAGCTGCTCCAGTAAGGAGGCATCACAAATCAGCCCTTCACAAGCTCCAGATTCAGGAAACTTAAGAAGAGGAAGAATTGTGCTGACTAAATCTTTTCCCTTCTGTTGCATCTGCTGCATGGTGCAAATCATCCTCCCATAAACATTCTTTTTTTTTCTTCTCTTTGTACTGGACACAAATAATCCTGCCACATAGAAAATTGTCCTGATGGTGGATGCAATAAAAAAACACACACACACAAAACATGTCAGCTGAAAATAATTGCCACAATTTCATACAATGTTAGAATCTTCTGTCTGAAGCTTCTTAAGGTGCCCATACACTGTACGATTCTCGTACGAGAATCGCGGGAAATCCCGCGATCTTACAAGAATCATGCAGTGTGAATGAAGACGTGCGACCGTTTCTACTGTACGGTCGCACGTCTTTTGTCTAAGGAGCATGCTGGAAAACCAGCCGGGAATCGTACGATTCTCGGCGAGTGAGTGGCCTGCTGGTTCGACAACTGACGAACGGGCCGGTGTGCACACTGCCGGTTTGCCGTCCTTGCAAGCCCGCCCCTCATTGCAGTCATGGCAAGCCCGCCCCTCAAGGGGGCGGGCTTGCGATGATCGCAAGTACGATCTGCCTGTCCAAGATGGGCAGATCGTACGTTTTTTTAAGTACTTTACAACCATCGCAAGACTAAGGTCTTGCGATGGTTGTAAAGTGTATGGCCACCTTTAGGCTGGGCACACACCTTACAACCATCGCAATACTTTTGTCTTGCGATGGTTGTAAGGTACTTAAAAAAACGTACGATGTATGGCTAGCTTAAAGGGTTATTAAACCCTTGCATGTTTTTGCATATATCTACTGCTAGTAAGCAGTAGATATATGCAAAACAATTTAAAAAAAACTTTTTCAAAGGGTTAATACTTACCTATGTCCCTGCCGCCCACTCTGAAAATTTCTCGGGCGGCGCAAAGGATCTTGGGGGTGGGTGCATGCGCAGTTCAGATGTTTGGCTGGGAGATGAGGAGAGACACAAGGTAAGTCTATGGAGCAGCGTGCACCCGCACAGACTCCGTGGGACATGAGAGAAGAGGAGGACACAGGAGTCGGCGCTGGATCAGAGACCCGCACCAGCGCTGGAGGGACATCTGAAATCTACACTAAAGAAGAAGAAGATCGGATTAAGAGGCATGATGTAAGGTAAGTCCTTACACTAACAATGGGGGGAGGGAAAAAATTAGCCTTTAATGTCACTTTAACACAGTTATTTTCTTGTATATAAATCTTTGGAAAGAAGTTTCCAGAAACAGATGCAGTGGTGCTGAGTAAGATTATCAATATAAGTATGGCAGCTGCTGGGGTGACGGAATATTCATATATGTTAGAGCTGCAGCTAACGATTATTTTCAAAATCGATTAGTTAGCCGATTATTAAGTTCGATTAATCGGATAAACAGTAAAATAAAGTTTAAAAAATGGCTCCAGTGATAGGACTAATAGTTTGTATTGAGGTTGTAGTCCATCACAGGAGCAAGCTTGGAGCGGTGGAAGTAAAAAAGAAAAAAAAGATAGTGTGGTGTGCAATATAGTGAAATGGAAAGTGTAAAATTATACAGTAATGAATGCAGAATGGCACCGGCTATAGAGGACTACAAAACCCAGCAAAAGCACATTATACAGCACAATGCAGAACACCGCCAGCTATAGAGGAATACACCAAATCCCAGCAATAGTACATAATAGCTGGCGGCATTCTGCATTGCGCTGTATAATGTACTATTGCTGGGTTTTGTAGTCCTCTATAGCTGGTGGTATTTAGCATTGTACCACTTTATAATGTACTATTGCTGGTATTTGTTGTAGTCCTCTATACCTGGTGGTATTCCGCATTGCGCTGTATAATGTATTATTGCTGGGACTTGTAGTCCTCTATACAGCGCAATGCAGAATATCACCAGCTATAGAGGAGTACAACAAATCCCAGCAATACATTATACATACAGTGTATAATGCATTGCTGGTATTTGTATTCCTATGTATAATGTACAGTACAATGTAGCATCAGCTATAGAGAAATACAAATCCCAGCAATACATTATAGAGCACCATGTGTGGAAAAGTGCAGGCTTACCTGACCAGTCTTCCAGCAACTTGCTTCTGAGATTGGACCTGTCTATCAGCGGCTGTCATCCCCCCACCCCTGCTCCTCCTTACTACATCTCCCCGCGTGCCTTGCCGATCGTGGATGGGCAGGAAATGTGAGGCGGGGAGGAGGTGCGGCGTGTGGAGCGTGGATGCGAGCGGGTCTGGCAGCGGCGAGCGTGAGGTGGGGAGGAGGTGCGGCGCACAGCGTGTGGAGCTGTGAACAGGGCCAACTGATCGGAAGCCGATTAATCGATTATTGAAAAAGTTGACAACTTTTTCAATAATCGATTATAATAGATTATGTCGATTAGTTGTTGCAGCCCTAATATAAGTAAAGATGAAACTTTTGTTAAAAGGTATCACTCTGCTTGAAGAGCCAGTAGATGGATTAAAGGAGCTGTTGGTATGTGGTCTGGAATCCAGGACTGCGCAGATGTGGCCATGCTCACACCATCAGGAAATGCGTGACAACTCTCAACATGAAGAACCCCATTATTTTCAATGGCACCTGCTCACCCTGAGCGTTGTGTTGTTTGTAGCTTTAGGACAATATTTGCACTAGGGATGCACCGATACCTATACTAGTATCGGTATCAGTGCCAATACCAAGTATTTGGGTGAGTACTTGTTCAAACAATCGGCGCAATGCTGATTGGCTGGGGAACCTCCAGGAGAAACCAGCTCGATGCCGATTGGCTGAAAAGCTGACTTCCCAGCCAATCAACATCGAGCCGGCCAAACATTTGGGAGCCGGCTTCCAGGGCAATCAAGAAGCCGGGCAGCAGGTAATGACCCACCACCCGGCTTCCTGATTGGCCGGGAATCTGGTTTCATGCTAGTGAAAGTACCAGTATCGGTACTTGGTATCGGCAAGTACCGAAATATAAATATGGGTACCCGTACTTGTAGCTCTGTTTAAAGCTGATCATGCACCTTAATACAACCCCAATTCCAACAAAGTTGGGAGGCTGTGTAAAATCTACATAAAAACAGAATGCAATGATCTGCAAATCTCATAAACCCATATTTTATTCACAGTAGAAAACCTATCAAATGTTTAAACTGGTAAAATGTACCATTTTAAGGAAAAATCAAGGCAATGGGCTATGTTTACTCAGGCTCTTCTACTACGAAGCCATGCTGTTGTCATAGATGCAGTACATGGTTTAGCTGAGATATGCAAGGCCTTCCCAGGAAAAGATGTTGTCTGGATGGGAACAGTTTTTCACTTTGCAACAGACCATTTTAAATGAGCTTTGGCCCAGAGAAGATGGTGGCATCATGTTCAGATATGGATTCTTCTTTCCATGAGCTTTAAAGTGATATTAAAACTTCAAGGTTTTTTTTTGTTTTGTGAATGGTAGGCCCACACTTCCACAAATCCTCCATTATTTTTGTTTAAAAATGATCACGTCCTCGTTCTCTAGTGGGTCCTCGCATCGCTCTCCCACCCGCACCCTGCACAGGTTTCTCCATCACCTATACGGCTGCTATGGAGGCACCCCTCCATGTCTTGCGATGGTTGTAAAGTAATTAAAAAAAACTTACGATCTGCCCATCTTGGACAGGCAGATCGTACTTGCGATCATCGCAAGCCCGCCCCCCTGAGGGGCCGGCTTCTGATGACCGCAATGCTGAACGGGCAGTGTGCACGTGCGCACAACGGCCCGTTCTGCATTTGTCTCCCGAGCATCATTCAAACCAGCTGAAAATCGTAAGATTTTTGGCTAGTTTTCCAGCATGCTCCTTAGACAAAAGACGTGCAACCATACAGTAGAAACGGTCGCACGCCTTCATTCACACTGCACGATTCTCGTACGATCGCGGGATTTCCCGCGATTCTCGTACGAGAATCGTGCAGTGTATGGGCACCTTTATTAGTACCACTTACTTTATCTTTTTTCTCAGTTCAAACATTTGATATGTTTTCTATTGTGAATAAAATCGGGGTTTGAGATTTGCAAATCATTTCATTCTGTTTTATGTAGATTTTACACAGCGTTCCAACTTTGTTGGAATTGGGGTTGTATCTGATTTTGTACAATCTTTAGATTTACCAAAACTATGTGACTGCCTACGTAGACAATACATTTAAATTGTATTCAGTCATACAGGCTTTTGTACTACATACAGTAGTTGTTGGTACAGAAAATTGTGCAATCATGTTGTACTGTGTGTTCTCAGATTAATAATGATCACATATGATGCTCGAGTCTGGCTTTGAGCTGGTGTATATCCAGTGATATTTATTTATTATTAGCAAAAAATTAATTTTGTCTCCTGAAAATACAAAGTGCAGATTCCAAATATCTCCAGATATTGCTGCATAATGTGGATTCTTAGGCGGCAGCACGTAATTGGTGCATAATACACAGTTTCATTTCATCTCTTTGAATAATGAACTTTATGGCCGGGTTCATGTCTCGAGTCTGTGAGATTAATTTACAGCTATGACTAGTGTGAAGATTCCGCTGCTATTGCTGCACTTCTCGTGTCTTATTACTCTGATTCATTGCTTTTGATACATTCTTCCCTAATGTTTCCTTTTCCTTGTTTTTAAAGCAGACTCACCATCTGAGAAGTCGGGGAGGAGGCGGAGCATGCCGGGGAGCACAGCGGAGAAAAGCCCTACCATGGAGCCAACTGCCACCACGCCATTCAGAGTGACGGTACATCTTCCTGTGATTCTGTTTTAGTTGCTTAGAAATGAGTGGTCATTTAACTTTCAATGTTACAACTATATTGTAATTGTTTACACTTATTATTTTTTAATGCAAGTACTCTGAAACTGCCAATTAAAAATTAGGGAATGCATGCATACTTGCAAAACTATGTATCCGTGGGGTTACCAGCTCCTGTGCCAACATAGCAGCAGAATTTAGGATTCTCTATGACCTCTTTGCTCGATCTCTGTTAGCTGCACAGCTCAGTGGTCTTAGGCTTTCTACAAAACCCGTTAAGTATGGCATCTCTGCACAGGACATTGTGTCCCCTCTTTGGTCTGTCCTATAATCTCCCTTTCCATTTGATTGACAGCTTCACTAAGTAAAACAAGTAACAAGTGGCCAATAAAAGAGCAGGAGAGAGGAGGGATTGGGATAAGGATTGGCTCCTAGTTCCTGGCAAAGCTTGAAATTAGTTTCTACAAAGCACTTCATGTGAGAAACCGATTACATATGTTTATCTTTGGGCTCTCTAAAGGTGCCACCACATTTTAGAGAATATTTATAAGGTCTATTCACAACCTTGGCTAGGGAAATCTTTCCTTCTAAGCCCTCCACCACACATGAATGCTTTGGACCTTCTGTGATTTGGAGCTCTAGTGTCACAAGGAGGTTACAGACTCCTTGTCTGGATCAGTTTGGTAATATACAATATGCACAGCTGGGGGCAGCCACTATATCTTTAACTAAAGTGACTGATATATATTTATTTTTATCACATATTTAGGGCTGCAACTAACAATTTCAATATCGATTGCAGAATTTGTCAGGCCAAAAGCAAAAATTACATTTCCCACCTATTTTTATATTAAAAAACAAAACAATTTGTATGTATTTTATTAGATATTTTAATTAATTTAATGGATTTAAAATAATCTGAATTGTTAAACTCCAACCCAATATAATAAAATAACCAAACTTTTATTTAAAATAGCACAACATTAAACGAAAAATACAAATATATTTTAATAAAGCCCAGTCATCAGTTCAGAGTTAGCCTGAGAATTATTGCTCAGGCTAAGAACTGTAGCGCAATCGTCGTTTTTGTACGTAGGTGCACCCAACTTGTGTTTCCGTTAGTATGCACAAGTTTGCAGGGTCAGGGGGCTTTACATTTTTTGGGGGTATTTTTCATTTTATTTTTTTATTTTTTTTAACTTTATCGCTATCACATGGGGGGGCTCACCTGAACGCCCTGACCAATGAGAAGCACTTCTTAGCAAGAAGTGCTTTTCAATGGTCAACACGGTCAGAAGTGCTTCTCATTAATCAGCGCAGTCAGGGGACCTTGCTGACTGAATGCTCGCAATTTGCGAGCGAAATTCAAAATCCGTAGTGCAGGGCTGCGCTACGGATCAGTACCGGTGATGGGGAAGGACCGTTCACCGAAAGGTGAAGGGAAAGAGGGGACCAGATTTGAGCAGGTGAACTTCCCCTTTAAATTCCATACCGCACTTATCCTAGAAGAGAAAATTTAAGGTGCACCCACATAGCATGATGCTAGAGAAACTGACATGGACACGAGCGCCTGTATAGCAGTTTCTGGTTTATTAGAAAAAACAGCTGATATTTCATCCCATAATCCTTAATAATGCAGGGTGATAACAACTCATTAATTATTTATATTAGATATATTGTGAAATCAACATTATGCAAAAAAAATTCTAAACTCAAAACAATCTATTCTTGGCTCAAATTAGTCCTTATCAGCAGGATCTAACATGAGCAAAACCACATACTCCCAAAACAAGGAAAAGAAGAAGAAACTAAAAGTTAGACTAAAGTGTGCTAAAGGTCGGTATATGTTACAGCATTGCTGTAACTGAGTGCTCTCAATGTCCATCATACCTTCCTCAACTCCCCCCTTTTTGATGATATCATCACCCCCAACAAAGTCTCTTATAATGTCCCAAGGTACTTCCGGGTAGGGAGATACTGAGCGTCTCCCAGCTGGCCGGGGAACCCCCAGTGTTCTTCATCAGGAGGTTAGTTTCCTCGGGTTGAGGTAAATAGAAGCAGGTGTCAATTGGACACAAGTCTCTGGAACATCTTGATTAACTTTTTTCAGAAGTCATCTTTGGACGGTTGCAGGGGATTGCTCCAGTACCTGTGAGTGTTACACTTAAGGTGGCCATACACTTTATAACCATCGCAAGACCTTAGTCTTGCGATGGTTGTAAAGTAATTTAAAAAACTTACGATCTGCCCATCTTGGACAGGCAGATCGTACTTGCGATCATCGCAAGCCCGCCCCCCTGAGGGGCCGGCCTCTGATGACCGCAATGCTGAACGGGCAGTGTGCACGTGCGCATAACAGCCCGTTCGGCATTTGTCTCCCGAACATCATTCAAACCAGCCGAAAATCGTACGATTTTCGGCTGGTTTTCCAGCATGCTCCTTAGACAAAAGACGTGCGACCGTACAGTAGAAACGGTCGCACGTCTTCATTCACACTGCATGATTCTTGTAAGATCGCGGGATTTCCCGCGATTCTCGTACGAGAATCGTGCAGTGTATGGGCACCTTTACGCAGTAACTGTGAGTGTTACACGTTGCTGCATGTAACAGGAAAAATATATATCTGATATTAGGTACACTTCTATGTGGTTTGCATAAAAGGTCCACCTTAAGGCTTTGTAAATGGTTACCGTATCTGATAGGTAGTGATAGGAGTGTGTCTCGCCTGTAGCTTTTGCTAAAGCGCACAATAATAGGATTTAGTGACTAGAGATTCATAGAGACCCTCTGGCTTCTACATGTGTATGTATTGATTTGGAGTCTAAGATGTCACTGTGCTTTGTCACCAACATACATTTCACTCCCTGTCCGTATCAGGCGTCAGTGGAGACACACTCTAGTAAGGTCTATTATCCCACACTGCACATATTCCCTGTGGCCAGACCTCCAACCCCGTTACATATGATGTGTGAATAATGTACCTTAAAGGATGGTGTACAATTTACTCTGATGTCTGCACCATATTTATCCATTTCATTATTTTTTTATGATTATTGTAAATGGCAGAAACACCTGTGCTGAAGAGTGCAAGTCAATTCTTAGCAGTTGTGCAAATTCTAATTAAGGAAAATGGGGTTAACAAACAGTATTCTGTGCAATGGTTACTTTGTTTTCAGAACTCATGGGATCTCTGTGCAGTTTGTTACTTTCTCTTAAATGTTACATATCAGTTAGAGTTTAGAGAGGGGTCACATTCCAGTTCACCGCCTGCACAGTTCTCTTGGTTCTTCTCCTTCGTCTTCTAATACCTTTCACGTAGTAGTTTGTGGAGATGGCTTTGTCACTGTCAGGATTATAGATTTTGTGTGGACTGCCATCATGGTGAGTCGAATTGTCCACTCACATAATCAATACAAGATGGCTGATTTGAATTCATATTGCGGTGAAGCTCTCTGCTCTCCTCTGCCCACTTTTACTACTGGTAGAGACCGTTTATATGAGTGTTTTTAGTCACCAGTCTGACTATCAGTAGCTGTTTTCTGATGCAAGTTAGAAAATATAAGCACTGCCTCCAGGATGAAATGCATCCATAAACGTAAAGGGAAACTCATGTTGAATAGTACAGAGTCATATAACAAGAAGTTGCGGTGAGTCTGGTATTCATGTGCAAGCTTGCTAAATCTGGCTTCAATGTATCAATTACAATTGCCAGCATTAACAGTTTGCTACTTGGCTAAGCTGCTCTTTAAGTAGAAAAATCCTTTCCAGCAGCGGCCACTTCCTTCTCTGCGAAATGTTTGACTTTTCTGTACAGAAAAAAAATTCTGAAGAGAAAAGAGCACATTTGAAGGGGACTAAAACATTGTTTCTCCAAATTGAAAGCTGTGAGGTCAGTGAGGTCATTACCGCTTCTAATTATCCCGCAAGTTCTCCTCTGCTTCCGGAATAGACAATGATTTCACGCCATTATTGTCATCGCTAAATGAAATGTATGTCACCGTATTAATGTGCAATTAGAAGAGATTTAATTAATATCTGGGATTAATAAACGGAGCAGGTTTTAGGTTCACGGCTGTCAGGGAGTAACCAGAGTTTTTGTGACGAGCGATCGATGATTAATAAGAAAGAGGTAAACTAATTAAAAGGGAAATTTGTGCAAGTTCACGCCTTGCGATGAGATTTTCCGCTGGTTACTGTATGACGAATTCCCAGACATGTCTTATCTGTCGCATGTCAAAAGAATCTCGGTGCTAAGTGAATAATTTACAGCCAGATGCTCCATGTTTTCTCTCTAGATTTGATTCAATGTTGTCTTTTTGTCTTTTGCTGCTTACAAGTTCCTTTTCCATAGAGTTTCCATAGAATTCCCCTCTGTTCCTCTGTTGTACCCCAATTTCTCCTTTGCCACTCTATTGTACCCCAATTGCCCCCTCTTTTCTTCTTGTAACTAAACCTCCCTTATTGTAACTCAGTCCTCCTCTGTCCCTTTATTGTACCTCACTCCCACTTTTGTCCTTCGATTGTACAACCCCCTATTTCTGTATTGTACCTTCGTCCCCTTCTGACCCTTTATTTTATCCAAGTCCCCCTTTATTCCTGGTATGTACCACATTGCTCTTCTACTGTTGTAATTGGATGTAAATTGACGCATGTCTGATGTCTGCTTACATCCAACTCACCACAGACCTTACATTGGTATGTTTGTTTAGTTTTTTCCTCCCAATACAAGATGAAGGAAAAAACTGAAAGCAAATGGATGTCAGGCTAACAGAGGTAGCATCTGAGAGTGGCTGTTCCCGAGTAATCGTACACAGGATAGATGGTTCAGGATGGATGCTGACAGATTGCGTCCAGAGACAATCATCTGTCCCGAACTGAAGTTATCGTTCTATGTATGCTGAGAGATGCAGCCGCTGTCACCCTATCATTAAACGGTGTCAGCAGCTACATTTCTATGGGTACACCTGCAATTTATACCTTAAGAATTC